CGGGATGCAATTTGAGTAATCGAGCTGGACATTGAAGAAATCGAGCAACAATTAGAAAAATTGAGTTGGAAATTAAAAAATCGAGCTTCAATTTCAGGGATCGATCGTCATTTTGATGAATGAAATGAAATTTTAGGGTTTCCTTTTCAGAGATGCGAAATTGGGGCAAAAAATGAGGTAATTCAAACCCTAACTGCGATGTTAGTCAGTTTAGTTAACGACTAATGAATATCTAAAGATCGGGTACTAATTTTGCTAACAGAATACAAGTTTAGGTCCTGATTTTGTACAATTTTCAAAATTGGTACTGATTTCAAAATGGTCGTTAGTTTAGGTATCAAAACTGCAATTTACCCTAGGATAAATATCCATATTCTTTATGAAAAAAAATTACAAAAAGCAGGAGCACAAAACTCTAATACAAACCCTCATTCAAATAGCATGAATACTTTTGAAATTAAACAATTTCATACAAGGACCACAAATTCATCTACAATTAGCATAGAATAACCCTAATTTGTATTAAACGACACTAGTGCGTGGCCCGTGCGATGCACGGGAAAACAATATTTTTATTGTATTATAAATTAAATAAATAAATAACATTAATCATGATTTACCCATTATTTTTAAATTAAACCGGGTTGGACACAGTCCGACCGGATAGACCGAGAACCGGTTTATAACCAGTCTATTGTGCTTGAATAAAATATTTGTTATCGAATCCGTCAACATCAGTATGTTGGACTGGTAGGATCGATACGATTTTCTAAACAAATTTTGTTACATTAAAAATTATTTTAAATAAAATTACATATTTAAATAAAATAGAGATTTATAAATTGTTTATCAATTAGTTTAAACATTTGAATTTATAAATTGTTTAGATTTTAAGTAACACTTTTTATTTAAATTTATTACAAAAAGTACTATATATATATATATATATATATAAAAGTATTATGTATTAAAATTTGAACAATCACAAATGATTTAATAAAATAACTTGATCGTTTCAGTGACGTTCCGGTTCTGAAAATCTTATATTTACCGTACATTAATAAAAATGATAATAAAATAATTATTTTGTTCACATAAATAATAATAAAATGATATATAAATATTCATAAATCATCAATCATGTTGTCGTAAAAGTATTGTTAATATGATTATTTGAAGTTTGGACTACATAATAAAATATTTTCAATATTAAAATTTATATTTAGGTTCAATAATCGATTTGGTCTGGTCAAACTGATACATAACTTAGTTACCTGGGACCAACCAAGTTATGTCAAGTTTTTTGATTATTTTAAATATCACCTAAAAGTAATTCAATCAACGTGGCAGTACCCTAATTCAATCACCCGATTGATCCAAAGTAATTTCATTATTTTCTTTAAATATAATATTTAATTTTTATGAAATAAAAAAATTTAGATTCATATGTCTACACCAAATGATAGTATATTAAGATTATAAATTATATATTTAAAGATGAATTATTTATTTTTATTTTGTGCATAGTAATAAAAAATAAACATAGTAATTTATAAAAAACTCAAGATTAATTGATTGGTTTTATATATATATATATATATATATATATATATATATATATATAACATGATTAAATTTTTGGATTAGAATATATATATTTAAAATGATTACAACTTTGAAAAGTTTGTAACCATTAATTTAGGAACCATCCGATTTTAAATGATTTATAATTTTTGAATCAGGATACGTCATTTAGAACCCATTAATTTAGGAACCATCCAATTTTTTGATAATGAATTAAAATTAAAATGTAAAATAAAAAAATTGCTAAAAATAGTATATAATAAATGTGGGTTGACTTTTCTTTACTACTATTTATGGTAAATGTTAATTCTTATTATATATATATATAGATTCCAAATCAGAAGCATGACACTTGACTAAAAACCTTAATTTCCAAAGCCGATAGCATAATAACCCTAATTTCAGGAATGAAAATATCGGCTTTTAAAAAATAACCTTCGATTGTCGAAGATTAGAAAAGCATCTTATATGACTTCAAGAGGAACTTCACTGCAAATTCGCTGCAAATGGAGAACCCTAGATTGTCGAAGATTAGATATATTCCTCCTACGAGCATATATATGATAGGAGAATGATTCGTTTAACTTTGAAAGTGAAATCATATGCTATACGAATAAGCTGCTTTGTGCCATTTCTTATTCCAAGAGTATCTTAGTGTAGTTTAGCTGTAGCGTTGAGAGTGTAGTTCTTGTTAAGGTAAGTATGGTCTTCTATATTTGGTGGTGATGCCATGGCTTATCTTTTTCCGAAAATATTACATTTGTCGTTGTATATTATCAAGTTAGCCATACCAGGAAATCAATCATAGACTGTAGCTTCAGGCAATTATGCATGTTTTTATTTTTTCCTGAAAGAACGCAGTTTTATGTCTCACTTGGCTTCTTATTTGTTTTATATATTTATTAAGTAAATGTGCATGTGTTTATTTTGGTCAACAAGCATCATATGCAGTCTCATCTAGCAGTTGCCTGTGGATAAAAATGTGCAAAGTTGAAAACAAACTAAAATACATGAAACTGGAGAAGAGACCTTTGAGTAAAATAGTTACTCAGCATAATATTGAACTCCAAATGCCAATTGTTCACCAATCATCCCAAAAACATAGGCAGATAGTTTCATCACGGAAAGACTGTAATTCAAGATTATGTCCACAACAAGACACAATATAACACTTCTCAAGCCACCCCATTATTCATCTTCCTCTATTTAAACTAACAACCAAAATGGTGATTCACAAAAAATGTTCCCCACATAAATACCTAGTAATGATGGTTAAAGTATGGAACCCTGTTTTCTCATACAACACTACAACTTAAAATAATATTACCAGAAAATAAGATATATTTTGAACCAAGATGCTTTTCTTCTCATTCTGCATCGGTCACGGTCTTCACCCTAA